TATATATATGTATATATATATATGTATATGTATATCAAGAACGAGAAGAAACATTAATTGTAAGATAGAACGAGAAAAAAATCTTTTTGGTGATGAGCATTTGACCAATGAAATAAAAAACAATCATGAAAGTAAACACCATCTCACTGATTTACTTTATTTATACTCAATTTAAAATCTGCATTTCTTTATCTAACATAATAATAGTAATACCCGGATATGAACCGGGACCATTCACTGAGTCATTCATGCATCATCCATTCATCCAACGACCTAACCATAAATCTACCAACCAGTCGGCCCATCGTCCGCCTAACAACCACTCATTCCATTCAACTAAACATGAATACATATTCTCTTATCATTAAACTAACTACTTCCATAATCGAACGTATTCAATTCAGTTCAAGTGCATACACATACATACACAACCAACACCTAAACTCATATAATACCCATCATTCATGATGCATCAACTAAAAATTTATTCACTCGACATCGATAAATTATGCACTGACTCAATTACTTTACCAATCGCATCAAATAGACCTACATCAAATACCACTAACTTCAAGTTTACCTGCTCAGCTAATTGTCTATCTATCTCAACGTATCACCTTTCAGTATTCTTCAAATATACAACACATGTATGTGTTATACAATAGAATAATTAGCAATTAAGCAAGTTATTTTCTAGGTGCATTTTTCTGGATATTGCTGCATATTAAACCATATGTCGGGTACATTTTGAGGTACGCACCGAACAGATAAGCACTTTAATTGAAAATATCATATTGTATCCATTCATCGAAACATTCTTCCTTGGTTGATTCGTTCACTCGTTGCTATAAGCAACCACCGACTGGAAAGAAAATATGAAAATAAAATCGACTGGAATACTTGGTTAGTGTCGGCTGGAAACAATAAAACTGCATGGATGGATAAATGGATCGATTTTTCATTTCATTTCATTTTATTCGCATTTTCATTTTCGTTTCATCGGTACCTCAATGATTAAATAACCACACATACATGCACACATGTAAACACACATACAAATATAGCTAGCTATACGTCCACTTGGATATGCAAATATATCACAAATATTAGTCATTCATCCAATTTATTTCTTGATACCATCCATATTCAAAATTTCTCAGAAAACAAAAATCTCTTCTATTGCCTCTCAAAACTCTTTCATCCTGCTTTCAATCCGCTCTTCTTTCTTATCCAATACATACCATCACATTTCTTATACGGCGAGATAAATAAATGTCCAAATCAGCCAAGTGTCAAATGAGATATGCATACCGGAATATTAATCTACATCTACATATTACATATTAACAACCACAATATAAATCTTTTTCTATATA